AAAGCAGCTTTTCTGTGTTGTAAAGGAGTAAACAGCATCATATAGAACAAGGAACAAAGTAGGCAGTTAAGGGGTACAGATTAAAGCAGGGGATGGGTTATAAAACACCTGCTTTTACATTTAAGAGAGCGTTTCAACCAATTAACTGAGATTTAAAGAGTGTAGCAACACTGTTAACATACCAAAGAATGGCTGTCCACATAAACAGGCCAGGCAAGGAGAGCAAAGCTAACTAGAGGTCTGTGGTAACTCGGGAGGAGTTGGAAATATAAACAGCTCAGGTGGGAAGGAACTCGTTCACACGACAGCAATTACTTGTGTAAACTTCGAATTTTACTTCTACACAAGAATGTCTGAGAGACATTGTTTCATAATTATTCCCATTTTAAAATCACTAATCTGCATAGAGCAGAATCATTTCAGTCTTTTTGTTTTGTTTTCTTAAACACTGTGTGGGTAGGAGGAAACCCGAACATGCACCTCAAACATAACAGTGTTAGGCAGGGACAAAGAAGCTGGTCAGAGTTGATGGGAAGATAGATGGAGTTAAACACAGGGAAATTTAAATAAGACTCTGTGGCAAGAATTCATACACAATGTCCCTTAGATTGGATCCGGCTGGCCCAATGTTGGAAAGATTATTTACTTCAGGTTAAATGTGTAAAACTTGTAGAGAAATACCTTATAAGTATCTTTAGAGCAGGATTTTTATGGTTTTTAATCATTATTTTAGATGGGATGAATATGAATATCCACCACACTTTTTGCATCTTCATTATAGAAAAAAAAAGGTTGTTTGCTTTCTTCATAATTCTGGGCTAATTTGTCTTCTGTTTATCGTATGAAATTCCCTGCAAAAGATTTTCGGTATGCCTTGACAAAAATAAAAAAAAATCAAGAGGTAAGAAAATACATTTAAAAGGCACTGTATCCAGATATTGCTTGAAATAATGTGATTAAAACAAATCAAGTTAATCAGAGCCCTCTGACCTTTTGCTTGGAGCTGCAGATGTTTTCCACCTCTGTAATAAGAGCCGTCTTGCGTTGATGTAATGCCTTTTCAAGCTCGTCAAAAGTATTACTGATATCAGTCACTGCCCCGTTTTTCCTCTCTGTTAGCTGCTTGGAGATCTCATTTACCAGACCAATGGCAGCAGTCAGCTGAGGTAATCTGCAAAATAATAAAGGTTGGAATTTACCAACTGTCATTTTTTTGCATTAATAAATATTTTTAAAGAAACCTCTGATAATCCCACCTGTTGCGCACAGTGTCCAGCTGGTTTTTAAGAACCGACTTATGCTGCTCCAGCACATCCCTCAGAGGAACGGTCACATGTTCCCTGTGTTCCCCTTCTGTGCACTCCAGACACATGGCTGTCTCACATGACTCACAGTAAAACTCCATTACCTACAGAACATCAGACAAATGAGCACCACGTTCCTCAAAAGTGGAAAATCTCTGCGGAACGTTATGGTGATCACTTTATACAGGTTTACCTTTCCTTCATGGTTTGGGCAAGAAAGGGGTTGACAGGTTGTGGCTGCGTTGGCTGACTCGAGAACATTGCACGCCTCGGCTCGACTGCATTCTGTGTCTCTCTGTAACACTTCCATTAAGTTTGTGATGAAAAAGTTGTTCTGTAGGGCTGCCACTCCCTTCTCCGGCAAGATGGATGTCTGTCGGCATACTGGGCAGGACAGCGTCAAAGACTGGGGAGGGATGTAGTTCTGTAGACATCTACAAGGAAACAGTTTTGATGCACAGCTATTAGTGGCAGCTGTCTGAATCATTGGTTTCATTTTGTTTACAAGTCTAAGTAGCTTGCAAAATATGCTGTATTGTAGTAAACTAAATGCTGGTGAAGATTCTCAGTCATCCAGGTCATAGTCATTCCAAAAAAATTAAAAAACATTGCCCTGGACTTTGTTTCCAGGCATAAAAAATTGAATTTTTTGAATTGAAAAAGCTTCCTGTAGTAAACTAAAGAACACAGCTTTATCTAATAACCCTAAAAAATAAAGGCCTACTAAAATTCCTTACTAAAAGAACTAGAGTTGTCCAGACACAAATGCTTTCACTCAATTTAATAAGGTAAAACTGAAAGGAGAGACTAAAGGGAAGGAAGGAAGGAAGGAAGGAAGGAAGGAAGGAAGGAAGGAAGGAAGGAAGGAAGGAAGGAAGGAAGGAAGGAAGGAAGGAAGGAAGGAAGGAAGGAAGGAAGGAAGGAAGGAAGGAAGGAAGGAAGGAAGGAAGGAAGGAAGACAGGCTCAATTAAAGTAAAATAAAAGTCAAATATCTGATCTAGATGACAGAGATCTTACTTCTCACAGAAAGTGTGCAGGCACGGCAGAACCTTGGGGTTGTGATAGCGATCCAAACAGATGCTGCAGACCAGGAACTGCTTGTCTATCTGTCTGACCACAGGGCTGGTGCTGCCAGTTTCACGCTTGGCCATGATGAGTGACATTCAAAAGAGAGGGGATAAGGGGACCACTGAACCTGCACACATGAAGAGGAAGAACCAGAGGAAATGTTGAGAGAAACCTTGAGGAAGCATTCAGGAGGGTGTGCTTGCTAGAACAAACAGAGGAGGAACTGAGTCATAGTTACTGCAGATTATAAACCCTTCTTTAAATCCTTACCAGGCTGGTATTTTATGCTCCCTCTCTCTCTCCCTGTCTCTCTCTCTTTAAACAATCGCTCTTAGAGGTTTAAGACTTTCAGTCAAAGGTCATTTGGATTGAAAAGTGAAAAACAGGTTAAAGCAGTAGAGAAAAAAAAAGCATGTGATCAAAACCACAGGATAAAACAACAACCAAATATCCCAGTGCTTAGGCTGCTCTGCAGACATTTATAAATAAAGGTTATAGTGCATTTCATCTTTTAATCCCAGTTATAATTTGCACTTTGATTATTTACATGAAGTCCAGATAAAAGAATGTCGTGTTGGTTTACTACTTAAATGAAACTGTAATAAGGAGTGGTTCATCTGCCATGTTGTAAACAAAAACCGATTAAATCAGATTGTGAAAACATACAGGAACATGCTGTATCATCACGCATCAACACATTGAAGGTCACAGTTTGATAGAGAAAAAAAAAGTATCTTAAAGTATTTTTCAAGAAAATACTAGATCACTCTTAAAAGCATCATGGATAACAAATAAATGACTGCCCCATAGCTAACACTACAACTCAAAAGAATCTAAAAACAACACTTTGCTCTAACTATGAACCGATCTTTTATGGCCGGCACCATTTCCTCATTTCTGTAAGGTCTGACCAGGAAATTCTGATTTTCTTTTAGCAAAGGAATAAAGTGCACATTAAAAAAGAGGAAGCAAGTTCTTTGACAGAGGTAGAGATTTTTAAATAATTTACCCTTTTGAAGTTTTGATTTAAACCAGAAAATAAGCAATCAAGCTCTTGTTGATGGTTGATGTGTTTATAAACTAAAATAATATGAAATTATTGATTTAAATTGTGTTTAATAGACTTAGAATTAAACTTAACTTTATTTATTCCTTGGGATTACTCCTTCAGGGAAATTCAGGATAAAAACATTAAATTGTGGGGAAACAGTAGAATAAATTAAAGAGTACAAGAGAGCAGAAAAAAGTTAAAGAAGAGCGAACAAAGAGTAGAAACTGGAGAGCTACTACAGAGGCTGTCATCTCTTATAGCCCCATAAACTTCCTAGTTAAACAATGTTTTTTTCTTTTTGCATTTGACCTTACAAAAATGGATAATTACAGTCTAATCACTTTGTGCATGCAAATGTTAATGCATTCTCCTTTTTGGAAACATAAGAATTGAACTCCACTAAAAAGACAAAAATGCAAAAATAAACAAATCAAAGGGTATAAAACATGTAATGTCTAAACTAAAGGACAGAAAAACAATGATAAGGAAAGTTAAGGCTATAAGCTGACATTTTATATTTTTACCAAATATTGTGATAACTGATATAACTTGCTTTTAACACACTTTTTTTTTTCTTTTTTTTTTTACAAATGCCTCTTTCCCATCCTTATCACATCCTTGCAATCCATCCTAAGGTTTATGTTCTTGGTCACTAGGATCTGTATCAGTCATAGGTATGGATGACAGTCCAAGTGGCTAAATATATCATCTAGTTTTAATGCATGGCACCTAAAATGACACAGATATTGCAAGCAATGTAAGAATCAAATCTATAGATTTTTCAAGATAAAGCAACATGCTAACAAAAAGAATCTGGATTCACTCTTCAAATGTGGGTGGATCCTAAAAATATCAGGATTAAATCAAAGCATGTTAAAACCTACAGTTTTAGCCGCTACATTCGCCCTAAATATATGAGATCATTTTCTTAGAGTGTAAGAAAAAGGAAAAAGGAAGCTTTAAAAACCCCTCCCAGAATTCCTGCTAGTTCCTTCCCCTGACTACTAGCAGGCTGAGACCAGGAACCACCTGTCTGCCTGCTGGGCTGAGACTCTCTGTGACCTGCACTGCCTGTCTCACTCAATCTAGCGGGCCTCTCGGATGCAGCTGTTCCTCTCTGCAGCAGCCTCTAACAATGGCATGCTAGCTCTACCCACAGCTACGCACCATACTTCATCTTTTTTCTGTTATAAAAGTACTGATCACTGAAGGCTTCACCACAGACATCTTATAACTGGAGGATCTTCTCAGAAACAGCTTCTATTGTTTGCACTTCCCAAGTGATTAGAAGCAGAGTCCTTTCCACTGTCCACACAACAAGGCCTCGCCCAGCCTCGTCAGCCTCCCCCTTTCCTCTCTCCCATAAACGACCCTCCCCTCCCTGCAGCCGTCTTCCCTGCAGCATGGATAGTGACATCAGGAGGAAGCTGGATGAGCCAAAGCCTCCAGGCTCCTCCCCCCACTCAGGCTGCGCAGCCTTTTTGGATTGCAACCATCTCCCCCCCCACCTTCGCTTCCCTTTCTCTGTGCTTCTAGCTTCTCCCAGCAGCCCTCCTGACACACTTCCTCCCACTCGCCTCACCACGGAAAGATCATCTTTCTTTAAAAATCACTCTTTGCCAGAAAGCTGTTCTGAGAAAGTTCCTAAGTACTAAAAGGAAAGCTTAATAATAAGAGCAAACTGTACACATAACATAAATAAACAAAATTATTGAAGAAGGTTAAAGTACCCAACCATTGTTTCTAAGCTTGATAAGATGTAATTGTTATATTTTACGAATCTCCTAAAACAAAACCGTATAAAAGGGAGGCATTGTTTTTTAGATGCATCAGGACTGGCATCAAACCAAGAAATACGTTTTGATGTTATCCATTTTCATGACCATGAATGCGTACAGACGGCTACTTTGTGCACAGTAACCATTTTACATATATTAACGTTGTCACCTCTGTTCTGCCATGTGCAGTATGCAAATGTTTGCTATTCAACTGTTTGACTGCAAAGCATTATTTAACACTCTCCCTGTATTTACAGTTAAGTGGCTTAAGGCCCTCCTGTGGGGTCAAGTCCTGTCTGCCATCTGGATTACTGGATCATTACTGGATCTAACAGATTCAGATGACACCATTGAGTTAATTCAACTCAAATCGGTAAAGTCAAACTCTTCATGTGCACCAGAAAATACCAAGCAACTCTCAATGGTTTTCTGAAGATCAGATAAAGCTCTTAATCTGCTCAAAACTTAGAATTCAGTGCATTTCAATTATGGCACCCTTTAACTGAATTCTATGTAAATGATCTAAGCGTAGATTTCAGCCTAATGTACTTAGATTTAGACTGTTAGGTAGGGCATGTAGCTGTAAGATCCTTGTGATTTATGTAGTAAACTAACTAAACATACCACTACCCTATCACTTTTTACACTAAAATGTGTTACAAAATAATAATTTCTAATGTTTTACAAGCATCTTTTGTTATTGTAATCATTTCATAAAATGTACACTGGAAAAATCAAAATCTAGTTAAGTCATTTTTTCCTAAAATAAGTGCATTTGTTCTTGGATTGAGGAGATAAGTGAGACACTTTACACTTGAAATGAGAAAACACAATTGCAATGTATTATTTAAAGTGCATATTATCTAATTATCTTATTTTAAGGATAAAAATACACATTCCATTGGCAAACTATCTCATTTACCTTCTCAAATTAAGAGTAATTACACTTAAATTAAGAAAGTTTTTCCAGTGTATCAAGGCATGATGTGTTTAACATACTATGATCATGTCCCCTCATCCATGAATTTGTTCTATTTACACAAATAGTCAACAAAAAACATATTTTAACTTTATTTCTTTAACCTAAAAGTGCTACTCTTCTCTGGTTTTGTAACAAACTTCAAAGGTGCTGGGCTGAAATTAAAAGTGAAATAGTAACAATTCTTTATATCAATTTAGACGTAAACCCCACATCCTTGATTCTGGGTCTGCATGTCTGAAAACAGCAGCCAACAAACGATTGTGCAAAACCTTAACCTTTGCAGCAAGAAAAAAATATTCTTCTGCAGTGGGTCAGTGAGAAAGTTCCTTCTATCTATAGTTGCTATAAAATAATTTTTGAACTAATCCCTCTGGAATATCTAACCAATGTCATGCATCACAGCGAATACCAGTTTTACAGAGTATGGTGCCCATTTTTGAACTATATTGGACCAGACCTCTCCTCCACACTATTAAGAAACTTGCTGTGGGCCGTAACAGCATATGTGCATCATTTCACCACCTCTTGCACCATGTTGTATGTTCATCTGCCATGTAAGAGCTCTCATGTAGGTATTGTGTTTTTTCTGTTCTGTGTCTAATATGTTAAACAATGTTTGTTAAAACACTGAAAATGCAATAAAAAAAGTGCAACCCAATTATTTCTACTAAAGCTAACAATACACACATTACAGTAACCTTGACACAATCGTGAACATGAAGTTAATGTTATTTGATGCATAGACCAAAGCAAAAGTGTTAAACACTCAACAAATGGAATAATTTTTATTGTTCATGTATCTCATATATTTTTTTTTAATCTCATTGCGTTAAATCAAATTAAACAAGTCTACTAATACAATATGATTAATCAATTAGCTAATATTGCACCCTTTAGCCAGCAAAGCAACATGTGGGGGTGGGGCAGTGCTGACTCATGATAAGCTAGAGAAAATTCTGGTTACTTCACTGTTTCTTTCACAAACTTTAGTGCATATAGATCTGGGTAACATGTCTGTCTGTGACTAGTAACACAATGACACATACAACCTACTTCCTGTTTCTCTTAGCCTTATTCTACTCTACCCAAGAAATTGACCCGCTGGGAGTGTTTCGTCTTTTAGAGTGAGCATTTAAACATTTTGTGTAATAGATGGGATTTTTTTGAAGACTAATGTGTTTTATATACATAAAAATGTCTGTTTTAATTAGACAGGGGCAATTATTTGTTCAGTAACGATTACATAAGATATATCCAGCCAGAATGAGTGATCATGCAGATAAACTCTGATGATGTTTGAATGATTTGATTTATAT